GCATGAAGTAGTACTATGTTCACTTAATAATTTACCTTTAGGTTTGGGTTTTGTTGTTGTGTTGTGTTTTGGTTTTTGCCCAAAATGGTTAATTTTGAAGAGATTTGTACTTTCATTCTAGACACATAAGTAATATTGAACCTGTTATCTCAGTGTCAAATAGTTACCTGTGAAACTTGCTCAGGGAAGAAACATGATTGCTATAGTGTAATTATGTTTCAACAGTGCCTTCCAAGATAGATACATTACTTTCAAGCTTCATAAAAGATTAGCCAGTCTGACTCTAGGCGTATTTTATAGTGCAGTCACCACACCACATTCCTTGACCTAAAACCTCTGCATGCTTTCACAAGTTTTTTTTCTTTTTTTATTTAATTTGAGACAGTGGTTGAATAAGTTTTTAATTTCCATCACTCAGAGGGAGGCTTTCTGGTTCTATATTGCCTCCTCATTCCCTCAATAAAGCAGTCCTCAAACTTTCTGCCGTGAGCGAAACCCTTCACTTTAAGTAAAATTTCAGTTGATTGCTAAAGTAAAATCTTGTTAAATGATTTTTTGATATACTTTCTACCAGAGTTAACCAAGTAACATAAGGGGAAAGAGGGAGGGAGGAAGACAAGCAGGCAGGCAGAGAGAGGGAGAGGTCAGGATCAAGACCTAGGGAACATCAGAGCTCCTTTGACCTGTTTGCCACAACCACCTGCAGCACTCTGAGTGCAGCGCAGAAGGGTGTGGTTTCTCCAAGAATCATGGTTGTTTTCCTCCCCAGCCAGTCTCTTACATGGGACTAGAAGGACGAGGATACAGAGCTAACCATGGCAGGTCACCCTCAGTGTGTGTGAAATTGAAGTGGATAGAGAATAGTCTTATTCTCTTTAGGGCCCACTGCAGAACAGAGGCTGACAGAGCTTTAAAAAAAAAAAAAGGTAAGAATATCCAAGAGCAATGCTCCTTCCCGATTCCCTCCCTAGCTTGCTCAAGGGACCCAGTGTTACAGTTACTGTATTTTTTTAACCACAGTTGAAGAGTTGGGATATGTGGTCTGATGACTTTCATTTTTTCTGTTTGGTAAATGGGAAAGAATATTTTAAAGTAGGACTGTTCTGGAAAATCCTACAGGCATTGTCACTGCAGGCATGGGGTGACTGCTGGTGTAGGGAGTAAATAAATAGAAAGGAATATAGAACAAGTACATAAATAGAGAAGGTGATGAAGGAGGGTGGGTGCTGAGGGAAATCATATTTGAGTGGAAAGGTTGGGCTTATGGAAGGAAACAGGGACCCAGGGAAAAGGCACAGGAACACTGCTGGAATAGCATAGGAAAAATGGGAGCTGTTAAAAGGCTACTGAGAGCATGTCCAGCTTCGTGTTCCAGTTTTATACCAGAAATTACAAGGTTACCAGCAACTCCAGGAAGAGAAGGTCGCTCTTTCTCTGGATCCTCCTTCTTATCTTTAAACTCCTGGGATTGCATGGGCAAAATTTCAAGCTGTGTGAGACTTAGAAAGAGGAGGCACTCTAGCACTGCTGCCCCTCTTGATGTATGTGCCAAACACAGGCCCTGGCCATTTGCTTCTCCTGGTCCCTGTGCTTAAAACCAGCTGTGACAGCCATAAGAACTGGACCTGGGAGCAGGCAGGGCAGTGCCTTCTGGAGCTGCATCTATACTCAGTAGCTAGAGGCCTGCCTAATTGGCAGAGTACATGAGTGCTCTGGGTGTTGTCCAGTGTCAGAAGTTTTCTTTGTTGAAAAAAATCTTGAACTGCTTCAGAGAACTATAAGGGGTTCATGGGACACAGGTTGAAAAATACTATGCCTTATGTGTGTTAGTTGTATGCCTGGGGGGGAAAAACTGAAAAATACTAGTCCCTTTATGGAATATCATCCTATTGACCTCTAGATTAATTTCAGAAATGTTTTCCTGAAGAATAATGTTGATTCTAGCATGAATTTTAGATCCCCTTTATGCCTGACTTGGGAAACAAGATAAAGGGGTAGAAAAGGCTGGAACCAAACACAGGGTCCATGTGCTCTGTTCCAGCACTGTTAGCTGTGTGACCAAGGATAAAACCCAGTCTCTCTGAGCATTCTCCTCCTCCCTGTAAGAAAGGACGGTGCTTACACTGCCTACCTGGCAGTGAAATGACAAAGTACTTTGTAAACTGCAAGATACTGCGGGAATGCGAATTGGTATTAGAATGTTTGCACAATCACATGGAATGCTGTCTACCTGTAGGAGCTTATAATGTAATAGGGGATATTGGTGCTTATTAGAATGGGTAATATTAGTATTTTAATATTTATATTGGTTCTGGCTCAGCCCTGGAATTCTTCTATTAAGTTATGTGGCTTGATAGTTTAAGAGATTTTTTTTTTAATTTTGCTGACCAAGATAGCTGTAAGTAGAAACTGTAGTGTGCTGTCACTGCAGTTTATTAAATGTGCTAAAACAGAATCATGAAAAAAAATTTCCATTTATTCTACAAATATTTACTGAGGACTGATGATGTATAAGGCACTGGTGAATTTTATTTTTTCTGATTGGTAAAAGGAAAAAATAGTTTAAATTAGGAGTAGGCACCCACATCCTCTGAATACTGACAGGTCAAGTTCTTGTGAAGATGAAGTTAGCTTTGCTTCTGTCCTTTTTATGATTTGTTAAATGATCATTAGGAAGAAACCACTCTCTTCACAGTGCCTTGTATCAGATGCATTAAAAGATAATAGAATGTCCACTTCATTTCACAGATGAAAAAATTAAAGACTGACCTAAAGCTACAGAAGTAAGAGGTGTCAAAAGTGGGCTTTGAACTCAGGTCCTCTGAATGAGAGCCAGGGCTCTTTCCACTGTACCACACCAATCTCTTTGCTGCCCCACCACAGAGTCATTTAGCCTCATGGTTATTTTTTATTTATTTTGTTTTTGTTTGTAGCCTCATGGTTTTTTATAGCATTGATTCATGCTACTCCCTCCACCTAGCATTACTCCATTTCTACCTTTGGAAATTTCAGCTGTTCTTCCAAGGGTCAGATGTTGCCCTTACCCAGTCTCCTGAGCAGAAGTCTTCTCTCCCACCTCTGAACTTCTCTAGCACTTTCCATCTGTATCACTCACATGGCATTTATCACATGCTGCCTCACATTATATATATTGTTATTATGTACAACTTTTTCTGTAACTAACTAGTTGGGAAGCCCCTGAAGGGCAGCTTGTAACTCTCCTAGCACCTAAGAATCTAGATGAGGTCTTCTTACAGAGCAGGCACTCAATAAATGTTTATTCAGTGAATTATTGAATAATGCTATAAATAATAATACCCTTATTATTATAAACTTACCCTTGTTGTTATATTGAGTTGGCATGCTGTCATTTTAAAAGTTATTTCTGTCCTGCCACTTGTGGTACCCATTGTATGAGCAGCGTCATTTATTGTCAGGAATCTGTCAGCACCACTCCAGACGTTCACTGCAGTTCATATTTTTCCTGGCTGGAATGCTACATGGAGTAGCAGCCATGGGTCAAATGTCTTCAAGTGAGTCTCCATTAAGGTTGAATTAAAAGACTTGATCATGGAACATGCAAATGTAGACAGTGGCCTGAAGTGAGCTCTGACAACTAGTGGACATAAGCAATGTTCATTTACCAGTGAGCCTGATAGATCTACTTCTTCCAAAATATTTAAAATATTTGCTATTGACCCTTATGTAGCCCAAGGCAAAAAATTAATTCATAGCTAATTCTTTGCCAGAGAAATTTAAATCTAAAAAAATTTTAAACCACAGCTTCATTGCAGAGACATATCTGAGATTCATTGAAGGGAGCATCGTCTTTTATTGATTTCAGTCTGATTACAAAGCAGTAGAATCCATTTTAAGAAAAGAGATGAGATGCCTAACAGTAAATAAATTATTTGGCAAAAGCCTAAATAGAGAAATCTAAAGGTCAAACGTTGCACACATACTCTCCATTTTGAGACTTTCCCAGTATATATGGTCAATCTTACAGAATTAAACAGTGCTTTATAAAGTAGAGGAGACTTTTATTTATTAAAATTAGAAAGCCTCCTAAGAGTAATAATAAACAAAACAAGTGCCAATTTTCTTTGTAAATACTCTGTACCTTAGTAAATTCATTTATGCAAGTAAAATAATAAAGTATTTTCTCTAAAGGATTCTGTATTGAACTACAGACATAAAACATTTTGCTAAATAGAAACTTCTACTAAGCTTTTTGTAATGTCCTTTTTCTCCATTAGTTTTAAATCAAACTTTTTAAATTAAACTAAATTTATGGATCTATCTTGAAAATCTTGTTAAACTCAGTCCTATTTTAAATGCAATGATTATTTCCAACTTGTATATTCTATTCTATTTTTATTCTAATATCTTGAATGGTCATATCAGATATTTCATACTTTCATCTTTACAACTGAATTGAGATGAAGCTTTGTATTTTTCTACTTATCACAGTATTGTTAATGTGACAATTAATTCTCCTCCATCTCTGCCCCTGAATTCTTATTTCATAGCAGCCACACAATACACATGCAGCACACAAAGGATCAAAATGATTTCAGCTTGTTTGACAGATTCAAAAGGATCTGTGATACTCTAGATTCAAAAGAATCTGTGATACTCTGGACGCAAGAGCAGTCATTTAAGCAAGAATAGAATGGCAACTGCACATACATCAAGGTAGACAAAAGACTGTAGAGGCAGGTTTACTTAGAGGCATGGAATTTACTTTGGGAACCTGTCAACCAAAGGTATCAGACCTATCAGATGACTTTTTAACTAAAGAGGAAATGTGGAAGTTTTCTTTTTCTTGGACCAAGGTCAACAGGTTTAAAATTTATGTGCTTATCAATGAGTAGTACTTGCTTGTTTTCTTATAGAAAAAAGCTTTCAATACTGCCCTAACTTCTCTTTCATGAACATATCAGTCTCTGTATTTTTGATCATCACTTCTTCAGTACTTATAATAATATTTTGTTTTATAGGGATGAAAGCAAGAGGAAAATAACAACCAATTTAAAATCAAAAGGTAACTAATAACCCTCACTAAAAACTATTACATGTGTTGTAATATACATATATAAATAAACTATATGTAAGTTAAACAAATATAAACCAGATTTCTAGTTAAAGATGAAGTGCTTATGACTTTGTTTAAGACAAATAAATCTTTTGTGGTATAAGCATCCTAAATTCTGTAGGTTTCAGGAATTCTGGGTGTAAAGGTTCACATGGTTTAAATACATCCACCTTCTAGCAGTGTTTCCCAATCTAAACTATACTGCAGACTATTAAAATTAGGTAAATTTTGAAGTAAAGATTTCACATACAGCCTCAGGAAGCTAGATCTTAAGGTTTAGAGGTTGGGAACCAAGCAGATGGGAAAAGGAATAGGAAGGAGCCAAATATAGTGGAAAGGAGGTTTGAGGTTTGTTTGTTTTTTTTAATTTCTGAATTTTGAGAAATAAATAACAAAAGTTTTGCAGATGGGTAAAAATCTGTCATAGACTGACAAATAGGAATATGCCTTAGAAGGTATGTGATCTAATGCCATTTAAATAAGCAAATATGGCCTGGAATTAATTTAATAAAAGTTTAGGAAATAGTTCAGAAATAGCATGATGCTAAACAAAGCTTAGAATAACCTTTCTCCTGAGAGAACTTACCTGCCTTCCATTCCATTAACATGATTAGTACTAAATTCATCAAAAAGCAGAGAAGAATGGAAGAAATGAATAGTGAATGAGGGGTGAATAGTGTCACCTGAAGGAGAATTTCTGTATTTTAGAGTTTAAAAGGTGAATACTCCTAGATTGCTTTCATTTTCACACAGCTCAAGAGGACATGTGACCCTTACTTCCTACCAAAGAGTCTACAAAGCCATGTTAGCTTAAATTCAGTTCAACAAATATTTTTATTAAATACCTGACCAATACCTTTTGGCCAGACACTGTGCAAGATGTTAGCAATGCAACAACAAAGTGAAAAATAGGCCTACCCTCAAGTGGCTTACATTCTAATGGGGAAAAATAATATAAACAGATAAGTATACAAAAAACATAGGATCATCCATCTTCACTATTGTAAAACAAAACAAACAAAACAATCTAAAATCCTTCACCCCACTGAATTTCACCAATGTAGAGTTCAGTGAGATTTCTGGGAATAAATGGTTAAGAGTTTAAAGACACTGCAGCCTGAATTATTGTTGTTTGTCCCTGCTATGCTATAATATATTTGATAATCATCTATTCTCTAGACTAAGATGAAGTATTAAGTAGTTGTCTGTTTTTCTGTCATAGCTTTTTGGGGAGAATCTGATGATAGCAACTCTGAAATTGAAGCTGCTTTACGTCCTAGAAACCACAACACCTCTATTGTTGATTTTGATGACTTCTACGACTAACAAACGTCACCTTCTTAGAACTGAAAAGATTTTAAATAAAAATATCAAGTTTCAAATTGTAATATGCTTTGTGCATGGCTGAAACTTTTTTTACACATTTGATGTTCAAAATCAGCATATCTTTTTAAGTTACCTCTTCAGGTGTGAAAATATGGAATTACATAGGTTTTTAAATAATCAGTATCTTAGGATTGATGGAATAAATATAGGTTCATTTCTCAAGTTCTCTATTTGGATCTCTATTTAAATCTCTATTTGGAAAATGTTTCTACTGAGAAGTGGGAGGGAGAAAGGGGAAAGGGGAAAGGATTTTGAAAGCTCAGAAAATCCTACTATCCATTTCTGCAAACTTAGCTGTGTAAAAGCTTCCCAGAGATGGCTTAAGTGTAGTCTTGTATAGAATCTGATGGATCTACTGTGTGACCTTCCCACATTTCTTCTTGCTCTGTTTTTTTTTATTTCATTAAATCAATTAATAACTAATCAGAATATTTATCAAGCTCCTACTCTGTGCCAGGCACTATGCTAAGCACTGGAAATGCAAAAAGAGGTAAAAGACCTCAAGGAGTTACCATCTAATGGGAAAGATAATGCTCAAACAAATATATATAAAGTAAGCTACAGGATAAATAGGAAATAATTAGTGGAAGGAAGGCACTGAAATTTTAATTAAATGGAGTTAGAAAAGTATTCCTGTAAAAGATGAGATTTTAGTTGGGACTTAAAGGAAGCCATGGAAGTCAGTGAGCAGAGTGGAGGAGGGAGAGCATTTGAGACAAAGAGGACAGCCAGAGAAAATTCCCAGTGCCAAGAGATGAAGTGTCTTATTTATTTGGGAGGGAGGGAATCAAGTTCTGATAGTAATAGGTAGTTACAAATAGAGACTTTTTAAATACCACTGTCATTATAAAGCTCATTTTTTATGGAACTCCCTCACTAACAATGATATAATCATTTGTGATAATCCAATGATCGGAAACACTGAAGACTCTAATTTCTGCACTGCCCTTCAATGTATAGTAGTCAGCCTGAATAGAAAGAGATTCTTCAGCAGGAGAAATGGGAGTAAGGAAGGGACAATTTCAGCCATCAGTACTATTCTAGGTACCCCAGCCTCTCATGAGTACGGTTAGATAGTTGGGGACAGGGGAGAGGTGGGTGGAAATCATGTTCTGTATTTTTAGCTTACACTGCCAAGGGGAAACGAAGACACAGATACCATCATCTTTTAAGACAGAATTCACAAAACAAAAAATCTTCAATATGGTTTTTTATAAGGACTATTCAAATTTAAATACATAAAACATTTTCATTCATGGAGAGAAACCAACAATAATACTATATATTATAAGACAATACTGAAGAAGGTACAGATATGTTGTGATTATGATTCCATACGTTGATTTGGCACCTTATAGTTTTAAAAACACTTTCACATGCAGTGTTTCATTTGATCTTCACGACAGCCTCTCGAGCAGGTTTGCTGTTATTCCCATTTTATAAATATGGGAACTTGTTCGTGCTCAGTGAGTTTAAGTGATATGCCCAGTGTCACAAAGATAATAATCTTCAAATTTGTGAGAGTTGAAAAATCACAATTGAAAGTTAGACAAATGGTAAAGAGAACTGCTCCAGTCCTGGTTTTATATTAACATTAGCGTCAGGAAGATCAGAGACCAGAAGGGACAGAGGCTTTGCAGACTTCTAAGGATACCTATTTGCTGATGACATGAATCATTTAAAAAACCTCAGTGAGGCAGCAAGGAAACTAATCGAGACAATAGCTTCAATAAAATAGCAACATACCAACTAAACCGACAGAAATAATCAGCATTTCTATATGAACAATGGCAAAATTAAGGAAGAAAAAAAATCCCAATCAAAATAATTACAAAAACATACATAGGGAAAAGGTAACATGATTGCCAAAATTTCCAGACCTTCCTCCTTCCCCCACCCCACTCCAGTTGATCTCTGTTGATAAACAGCCACCAACGCAAAGCAATTTGGCTTCTCACCTAAAGGTGAAAGCATAATTTCTAGTTGATCTTCATAATCCCTGTGGGGAGAATCCTACATGTTCTTGAGTTTTGTTGCAACCAAGCCTCCTCTGTGAAGAGAAAAGCTCTACTTTCTTTTATTTTTTCTTTCTTGTCTTTGGGTTGGGCCAAGCCTTTGCAAGCACGAAGATAATTAATAACAAAGAAGAAAAATATGTAAAACACTGTTAAAATTGTGGAACCATGAATTTGGAAGTGAATGTGATTCCCCGGACCCACCAGCTATGGTAGACCTGTATCCTCAAACAATGTTAATTTTGTTTGTGAACTGTGCCATGAGGATGTGGTATGGTACAAAAGAAAAAGCAATAGCTCTGGAGTCAAGGGACTTGGGTTCAAATCCTGCCTCTGAGGTACACAGCCCATATGACATTGGACATGTAACAACTTCCCTGGGCCTCAATTTCCTCATCCATCAAATGAAGAAATTGGATTAGATGGCATCTGAGGTCCCCTCCAGCTCCAGATCTGTGATTCTATGACATTGCCAAAAAGTCACCCAGTTGATTTTCTTAAAACAACAAATGTGTAACTTGGAGGAATCTATAAGGGAAGAGGGAGTTTACTTCCGCACCTCCTAATTCAGTTGATATAGTCATGTGTGATGAGGTGTAACCATATTAACAAGGTGTCAACACATAGCCATCCTCTCACATCTATGGAAAAGATCCCTGAAAGGACTTCATGTTTTTCCACATACACCCATACCCACCCCCACCCCCCATCATCTATGGAATCTAGCAGCAAAGCTACTCACACGGAATGAGATTTCCCCTGCAGCAATTAGAAAGTCAGTTCAAGGATAGTTTAAGACACAGTTGAAGGATCATTCCACATTCCAGAAAGACAAGGATACAGGTTATCATTCACTGGAAGCAGTTTCCAGGGTCAAGTCTCTGGCAGGAGTGAAGAGATCCAAAATGGATGCAAGAGAGCTAACCCCAGGCCGTCAATAGTGTGGCTGCAGAGAGGCCTGCACATTGAAAGAAATTATTTCAAGGTCAAATAATGCCAGGAGTTGTTAGTTGCCTTGACCTCAAGTTCCCTACTTAAATGTCTCACTACATTTTAATTTGGTACCCACTCTTCCCATATATACTGTATTAGAGGAAGGGTGTGCCCTAAGTTGATGGGAGTGGAGGGGAGGGGAGGAAGTAATGTTTTGTAGTTACTGTTTTTACTTTGCACTCTTAGTAAATGCCCATTCTAACAGCTAATTGTATCTACAGGCTAACTATTAATGGAAAACACACCAGCAGGTTCAAGAGTGGGTAACCACAGAGTATCCCATGAATCCCAAGCTCCTCTCTGAGAACTCTACCAATGAATATGAGTGTAAGTTGGGGGCATGTCCCAGAAGGGGTGCTACTTATAAAATACTAGGGAGTCAATCTGCCAAAGCACAGGGAAAATATAAAAATAAAAGTTACCAGGCAATCTAAAGAAATAATGACTGGATAAGGCTACTGAGCCATGTCAATATAAAAAAAATTTCACAAATTTACATATGTAATAGAAATATATGTGTGTGTATGTATGTACGTAGAGATAGACACAGAGAGACAGAGAGATTGAGTTATTAAAATACCAAGGAGATGGTTTTTCTTGTTGTTCAGTCTCGTCTAACTCTTTGTGACCCTATGGGCCTTACCATCCTTGGGATTTTCTTAACAAAGACACTGGACCATTTCCTTCTCCAGATTAAGGCAAACAGGAGTTGTGACTTGCCAAGGGGAAACACAGCTAGTAAGCGTCTGAGGCAAGATTTGAACTTAGGTCTTACTGACTCCCGGCCCAGCAATCTATCCCCTGAGCCATCTAGCTGCTTCCAGATACATTTTAAAGCTAGACACAATCCTTTTGGAGGAACAAAAGATTTAGAATATCAAGGAAAATAATGAAAAAAAAAGATATGAAGAGGAAATAGCACTTTCAGGCCTAAAATTATTTTACAAAGCAGTAATCACCTGAACTATTTGGTCCTCATTAGGAATAGAAAAGTAGATCTGTGGAACAGACCAGATAAGGAAGAATCAGAAACAATCAAACTCAGGAACCCAGTCAGTATTAAATAAACCTGAGATCGTAAACTGCTAGGAGAGCTTATTTGATGAGAATTACTGGGAAAACTTAAAAGCCATTTGCCATAAAATAGGATACAAGACCTGAATATGACAGCTCACACCATTAAAAAAAAATTAGAAAAGAACCAGATCATGTGTCTTTAACAGCCATAACTAGGTAAAGAATTGTTAATCAAGTAAAGGATAGAGGCAATAACAAAAGATAGAATACATCGTGATCCTTATGAAATTGAAAAGCCTTTACACAAAATCAATGTAGCTATAGATAAGAAGGGAAAACATTTTTGAATCAAATAACTGATAATGATAAGGGCCTGATATCTAAGATATACAGGGAATTAACACAAATATATGACCAAGAATGATTTCCCAATGGATGTGGTCAAAGGACATGAACATTCAGTCCTATCTCCTCCAGCAGATTCCCCACTGATTCATCCCCACTCTCACATATTTTCAATCTTTTTTGTCCACTGGCTGCTTCTCTATTACCTACAAGCATGTCCATGTCTCCTCCATCCTCAAAAACACTCATGGATCTATCCATCCCTGGCTTTACTGTGAAAACAGACAATGGTCTACAAAGTTGATTGTCCTTGGTGCTTCTGTGATTTCAGTCAATCAGTTAATAAACATTTATTAAGCTTGTACTATGTGCCAGGCACTATGCTAACCACTAGGGGTACAAAGACAGGCAAAACACAAGTCCCTCCCCTCAAGAATTCACAGTCTAATGGAGGAGACAACACATAAAAAGAATTTAGGAAGGGAAGGGGCAAAGGAACTGAATATGGGAGCATGATGAAGTCCTGCATCCAAGTGGGAAATGATAATTTGTCTGCCTTGGGCCCCCTCTTAAGTAGAAGATCTGAGAGGAGCTCTCTAATTTAGAGGAGAGAGGGGTCCAAGGGACAAGGG